CCGCGATCCTTTCTGAAATTCCAACATATTGTCTAATCTTATGGACATGCTAATTAGAAATAAGAAAACTGACACCAGCTAAAGATTCTTCTTCAGTTCCTTTATAGTATAGTATGTTCCCGGATTCCACCTTCATACAGGCTTCATCTTTTCTTTTTATCTCACTTGATCCTAGTGTATCCCATTTCGTCTTTTTTACTTCTTCTTCCAGTTCGGCTAGCTTTTCGTCTCTCATCAGTGATCTGACATTATAAGTTGCAATATCCAGTTTCGTTGCTTGTTTTCCTTGTTTCTGGCAATCTTCTAAAACCCAGGAATTCTTAGCACCCTCTGCTCTTTCCTCGATCCTACTATTGCCTAGGAAGGTGACTCCGGAGCTGCTGGGGACTGAGGACCAATTCTTACGTGTATCTGTCATAAGAGGGGGGGGAGTAGATTGGCCGTGAACTCACCGCGCTGGCCAGACGGGTTGGTAAGTGTGTTTCGGCCGCCCACTCTGGAAACAGACGCTGCTGTTATCGCAGTATCACAGCCTCGCTTAACTCACAATGTGAGTGACGCCTGTGAGTATCTGGAATTAAGCCTACAGAATTTTTACTTCCCATAGCCTTAATCCAGTAATGACATTACTGCTGCCTAATGTCATATCCTCAGTTAATTCGCGGGTACTTATTTGACAATGCCTTATTTGTACCTGTCCTGCATATCTGGAGGAACTTTCCCTATCAGCCATATGGGACGTGCCGTGTCGAGGTTGAGGACATCTCCCGCCCAGTCTGTCTTCCGTGAAGTACAGAAGAACCCCTACTCAGTTTAGAGCTCCTCCTCCACGCAAGCTAAGACCACCACAGTTTGTGTTTGAACAATAATAAATCAAAAAGATACTGTTGTCTCACTGTTGCCCCAAAGTTTGAGTGAAACTTTTTTGTATACGATATTTTTGGTACTTTAACACATTCACGACGGGTGGTATTTCCACTGAAACTGTTAAAATACGATTCGGGTCTCCGGCGTCCCTAATAGTGCCGTTTTTTAAACGTTGTTTTTTTTCATATAAATAAATATTCTTAAAATTCTAATATGTGAAATAAATGTCGACAATTATGTTTTAAATGCCTACAAGGTTTTATCAGGAACTAAATATAATAAAAAATAAGACTAATTTTTAAAATAAAAAAGCTATTTTATTTATAAAAGAAATACCTGGACAAAATTAACAAATGTGCATTAAAAATTAATGTACATGGTTTTCGTTGAAACAAGGTAAACAGTATCCTGACCATCGAGCAAAAAGACAATAGAGGAAATGTAAAGGTAGTGGGGGCAAACATATTGTTAGACAGGAAGTGCGATCTTTAGAGGCCACATTAAACAAGGAAAGAGAGTCTCTCTCCTTGTTTGACATCAAATTTAGTTGGGTTATGTTATTGTTTGTCCCAAATGTCACATGAAATCTTATTTATATTGAAGTTTTTTAACAATTGTGTCGCATTTTAGACTCTTATTAATAATTAATTAAAACTTTCTCGTCTAAGACACATTCTGCGAAATATTATATAGCCACTGTTGATAAGTGTCGGAAAATTTAAATTTGGCGCATTCGCATTTCCGGATATGTCCGCCATCAGAGGCCACTTTTTTGGTCTCCTTTTCATAAAGATTAGATTCCCTCTTTTGTCTTATTGCTCGATGATCCTGACTGACCTATACAATCAGCGCAATAGCTGATTACTTTTCTAACTTTTTTATCCGCTTCTCGACTTGAAAGTGATTTCCGTAACTTTGTGTAACATCCTACACACTTTTTTCTTGGTTTGCGTCCTTTACCCTCCGTTTTTACAAATTTATGGATTTTTCGTTCCAGTGTTTTATTTATTGTATCTCTAGTATCCGTAGTAACTATTGACCGAGCTAATTGCCTTCTAAATGGCATGATAGACAACTTTTTTCCTATGGCTAACTGAAAAACGACCCATGCATTTACAACACACAAAGCTTTCGATTCCATTTTAGTGATTTCCTCAAAATCGCAAAATAGGCGGACATTTGATCACTTATATCCACACCTTTTTTAGCTTTATTGTAATCAATAATACATTTTGGTTTTATTATCTTATTACCTTTTCTATCTTTTTTACCAGTTTCTACAAGGATCGCTTCATGTGTGACATCAGATGTGATCATCAAAACTGGTCTCTTATCGATCCACTTTATTATTCTTAAATTCCCACTTTCTTCTCCATACACCTTAGATTTCTTCATCTTTCTTTCAAAAGATTTTGGAATCCCTTTTCTATTAGATCGAAGTGTTCCGGAATATTTGATATTTCTTAGATACCTACAATTCCTTCACTAAAGAAATGCTGGAATAGAAATTATCAGCGTATAAGGTGATTAATTAAGGTGAAATTAATTTTAGTACAATGCCTTCTGAATGATTGTTACTGCTAATATTAACCGTATCGTAGTTTTTACCTGCATAAACTATCATATTGTGCATATACCCGTCTACTGTACATAATTTGTATAGTTTGATTCCTATTTTTATGTTTTTTATTCGGAATGTACAGTTTGAATAACAATCTGCCTCTCCAAGGAATCATGATTTTATCTATTATAATCTCTTGGCCAGGTGTCAAGACAGACAAAATTTCCCAGCAGTAGGTATATCAAGCAATGGTTTTACTTTGCATAGCCTATTTTCACTAGCAATGGTGTTATCGGAAAAATGTAGATATTTGAGCAATGTTAAAAATCTATCTAAAATATAACTTACAAATGCATTATGAAACATTTCCTCTTTACTCCAATAAGTACTAAGTGTCGGCAAAGAAACTAAGCCCATTGTTAAAATTGATAAAAAAAAATGATAAAATTTCATTTTTATCGGTATTACTCCATTCAACTCTCTTCTTACTTTTCTTGAAAAAAGTTAATTTTTGGAATGCATACATATTAGTTTCTCTAACAATCAGTTCCAAAACATCGTCAGTTAAAAAAAGCCTGTAAGCGTCTAGCGATTCTTTGATATTTTCCATATACAGAAAATAAATCTGATTCTGCTTCAGAAGACGGCATGTAGTTTGTATCTATTATAGAATCGTCACTAGAAAATGGCTCATCATCACTGTCACTTGATACTTCGATATCAGTTCTTTCACACATAGTAGTATTCTCAGAGGGGTCATAATTTCTTCTTCCAACACATCTTCCCTAATACATATATTAATCCCTAATATTTTTCATGAGTAACTCTTGTAACCATTCCAAAATAATTTCCATTTTACTCTTGTAATGGATTATTACCAGATTCTTCAAAAAAAAACAGAACATGCAGGTGACTCGTCATAATCTACTAGTTTCTGTACAATGACTTTTGGTTGAGAAGATTGGTTTTCTTTGTCACTTTCAAGAACTAGTTTGAATATTTTGGTCGCTCTTCTGTCCATTTTTGAAACACTAGAACAAATATCATATTTGTATAAATGGCACAGTGCAATGAAATAAACAATTAAGTTTATTTTACAATCCAAAGCACCTTCACACACATAAATCTATGTTTTATATAGATTCTATCTTGTGTCTTACAAATAGAATCATATAGTATTCAATTATGAAGTGTTTTTGTTAAAATATTAGTGTAGTTTTGTCTAAAAACTATAAATAAATACTTAGATAGGTACTAGTAGCTTACCTTCAAAGAGGACCTCGGGGTTAGGAACCGCCGTAAAGGTGTTAAGTGTTCATATGTATTACCAATTAACCTAGTCATGTCTCTTCGCCATACAAAAACATTTTGAAAAAAAAAATTAAGACCTAAATTTTTTCGTCTTAGTCTACCCACGTTCCCCTACTGTTCTGAAGCTATTTTCTTGCTTTTCTTAATTTCCACTACGAAAATCGTTTACAAAACTTAAATCCATAAATTAAACAAATTTTGTTTTTTTTTTACTTGGTGAACAATTTTTTAATGATTTAATTTCTTTCTCAGACTCATTTATATTGACAATTTAGACATATATTATACATTTTAAAGAAGACGACTTTAAAATGATATTGCAAAGATTGCGGAGTTCCATTCCTGCGACAACTTTATTGTAAGATAGTTCATTCGATTACATGAAATTAAGTTTAACTTGAAAATATCCGTCAGAAAAATCATAGCATGTGATTTGTTTTTAAAAACACAACGACATGCAATGATAACGGTAAAATTCTCCTATTAGTGATTCCATAGCAAATCATGAGGAAAAAAACCTCCCCAACTAATACTATCCCAACATGGTAAGTATTTGGTCCTACATTTAGTTTAATCTTAACTCTGATTTTATATGTATGGTATTTAAAAAGAAAAATGATGTATTCTCGATATGGTACTAAATTTTATAGTAGTATTTTCCTTTTATTGCCTATCTTTTAATAATGAGTAACCAGACCGTACTGCATTCTGCCAATTAATTCAGGACGCAATTGCTCATATTTTTCATGTGTGTTTACATATTTGAGATCTATCAAATTCTCTATTTTTAATATAAGATTGATGTTCGATTTTTCTAACATTTAATGGTTTTGATGTTTCACCTAAATAAAAATGATCTCATTCACAAGGTATTTTACACATACAATTTTTTGTTCTTTCTTGGTTTCTGTTAGGTTTAGTTTTAGATTAAATAGATCTCAATGTGTTTGTTGTTTTGAATGTTGTTGAAATGTTAAATTTTTTTCCTATCGTTTTAAGTTTTTCTGATAATCCTTTTATGTATGGTATTGTTACTTTTCTAGTATTATTCCTTGTATTCTAAGTTCTTATCTTGTTCTAAGTTGTTCTGTTCCAATCAGTCGCTTGTTGAAAATTTCATATTTATAAACAATCATTTTTTAATAAACAGATGTTTCTCCTCCAAGAATAAATTTTCATTAGAACAAGTAATTTTGGCTCTATCGTATATAGATGATCCCCTTTTAATATTGATGTTGATAAAAATAAAAACAGGGACTGGTTTTTTATAAAACTAATTTATTAAATATAAAACTAATTACATTTAAGGAATTAAGTGGTAACATCAGTCAGTCTATGTATCACACTGAAAATTTGATAAAAACCTCCATCAACTAACCTAAATACAATACATACATATTTTGAGCAATCTCCCAAACATCAAGTTAAACAGTAAAATATTATCAACTTTCCAACATCGAACAATTGTTACTCAACTTTTCTATGACCAACTTTGGTCTTGGCATTCTCTACCAGGTCAGTAAATATTTTTGATGAAACAGCAGATACTTTGGTCAGGAAACCATTGTGTGCCATTCCAGGAAGCAATAACAAGCATAAGGCGAAAATATATGCCAAGAATAGGTTGCTAATGGTTCCTCCAATCCAAATCAGTATCGACAGTCCGATAATTGTGAGACTGAAATACTAAAAATTTCAATATATCAGCATATTATTTAAAATATATAATATATGGGATTAAACCACACTTGAATCTCTCTTTTATTCTTGTAAACTTAAATAAACTTACCATCTTTGGATTCGTTACCCTCATTCTATAGTAAGAACTAACCAGCAATTCAAATTTCGTTTTATATAGAATGATATTTGTGCAAATCTCCTCATACTCTTTCTGCTTATAAGTATTCCAAGTTTCTTGCTTATACATTGTAGATACTACTGATGGTAAAACATAATCCCCAACAGTAATCATCAACCCAATTACTGAGATAATGGTCAATAAGTTTGGTTCACATAACCAAAGTAACATAAAAATTGTTGTACAGCCTAAAAATTTACATGTATTATTCAAAGTTGCATAAAACAATATGAGAAATGAAATGTAAGAGTGTAAGAGGTTATTTATTCAGAAAACAGAGAATAAATAAATAGAAATAACTGTATAACGGATTTAAAATATTTTCCAAGTGAATCTTAATGAGTTAGCATATTCATCAGTACCATCAAACACCAATCAATATGTATGAACAGTGATTAGATATACGTATTAAACATTGAGATAAATAACTTTCGCAATAAAACTTCACATGAAATATTTATAACTAGTTTTCTACTTCAGTGCACAAAATGACTAGAGGAAATACAAATAATTAAAGTACCTGCTGTTAGAGCTGTTGGATGCCACTGTTTTTCCCATAGTAAAATACTATTTAAATTAAGAATCAGCTCTCTATATGTCTCGATGTTTAATTTGAGCCTTCTGATTTGTGATTCCTAAAAAGAAACATCCAGTAAATTTCGCATATTTATTAAAATGTTTGTATACCATTGTAGGGGCATAGGGAATCTTTATTTGGATAGGATCAGGTAGGGTGTTGGACTCTTCATAAGTTTTGATAAAATTTGTATGAGGAGTTTCCCCCATAATACTACTACCTCTATAATCAAAGTGTCTAGGGGGTGAATGGTGTATTTCTATATCCTACAAATTTTAATAGGGACAATCATAAAAAATAGGTACAAATTACTACCTACTTACCGTTTCAGACATGTTCGCAATGCAACTCTTGAAATTTCAATTTTTTATTTTGGACGTTAAAAATAAAAATTCCAGCCTTTGTTTTGGTTACCCTCACAGCAGTGCCAGTTTGGCGGGAATTTCTGTTCCAATGCAGAAAGTCTATCTGATAAAAAATATTTTACTCCAATTTATCGACGCCTAGAGAAATTTTAGCACATACTACTTTAAAAAAAGCAAACACCTTACAATAGTAATACGTGTTATCAAATGATTAAAAATATATGTAATTATTTAAAAAACGTAAAATAACTAATTAAAAATGTTATGTTATTTGGCAACGTAGCAATAGGTTCTTATCATCTAATTTAGGCAATTTCTCGAAATTACACCACCTGAATATAATTCATTCAACTATTTTACGGATATCTGTGTTTACTAAATAAAATATTATATTATGTTCAATTAAGACACTGAATACAAGTTGATTTACTTTTGCCCTGTATTAAATACTGATTTTTCCCTTTTTAGTTATTTGTATTAATCATGTACCAGCTGTAGTTACTAACTTCATATTAGTTTTGAAGTTGAGATAGAAGATAGAAGTACGCGCTGTCATTGGTCCACAAAATTTCAAAATGTTTCTGACTGCTCCATAACGCCAAGTTAAAGTTGTTATGGCGTTATTTTAATGTGTTCGTGCTTTTAGTTGTTAGGATTTTTTGTTAAAGAATTGTGATATTTTATACAATGGCTTCTGCTGGAACAGTGGGTATCAAAATATTAATGCTAAATGATATATTTATTCGAAATTTCATTTCAGATGTCAAATAATGTTGAGAACCTCTCCCCACAAATAATAAGAGGGGTTGTTAGAGAAATGCAAGATCTAGTCAATAACCCTCCAGAGGGAATTAAAGTTCAAATTAACGAGGAAGATGTAACAGATATACAAGCTTTTATTGATGGCCCAGCAGGTAATTCACTAGGTTGCAGACACTTTGGTTTTTTATAAACACAAACATGGCTTATCAAAATATGTAGATTAAAATGGATTTTTGGTTTTGATTATTTCTTGATAATTGTAAGATTCCATTTAGTTTAAGTAGCGGATTTTCTAGATCAGGTATTTTACCATCTATGGACTTTTTATGTTGGAACACAAAAAAAATCTTACTATAAAACTACTACTTTTTGCTATCTATTTATAATATGGGAAAAATGTAGTACTGTTATTCTAAATATTAATACATAACCATTTTAATATTTTAAAAAAATTATAAATAACAATTTTGACACACCAAATAACAGATTATTTTAATTTTAGAGTGTAATGTAATTAGTGATATAGTTTGATAGTTATTGGACTTTTAGAGTCACTTGCTTAGAAAAGATAGAAGGTTGAAAAAAATTGCTAGTGTATAAAGTTAAGGTGTGTTAATAGCATTACAAAGCTCACCAACTTGGTTCTTTCCAAATTACAATATTACAAAATCACAAAGCCTTAAGCCATGGTATCAATAACTTAGTATTTATTCTTTATAGTTAGTTTAATTTGGAAAACTTTGAAATCCGGGGAGTTTTCATTAGAGGTTTTAGTGAGGGGAATTAACCCTTAAAATAATAATATCCATTTGCAAAGACAGTGTAATATCTCGAAAACCTTGATTTTACAGTGGACACTTTTTAAACTTTTGATCACATCTAGTTGTTTAAGTATTGCGCAGATTTATAGCAGTGTTAGAGTAGGTTTCAAAGAAATTCATTATAATGATTCATTCCATAATAGTGTAAAATTATTAGCAGAATGCCTAAAATTCCTGATTTAAAAAAAACCAGCAAACTTATCACATTGTTCAGAAATATGTATGATCTTAGATTTGCTAATATTACATATCGCGTTGAAGATGATAAAATTCTTTACTTCCATTTGAGGTATATAATGATAAAAGTCTATTGTTTAAAATAAAGTAAACAAATAATGTTCGAAATAAAATAATAATTGGAAATAAAACAAAAGTAGTAATATGTTGTACACAGTTTGATGTAATAATACAATCTTGAGATCAACAACTTAATATTATAAGTATAATAGTTAGACACTTTGAATCACAAAAAACATAAAATATTATATTAATCTTACGAGAATACCCATCCATCCAATGGCACTACAGCCCAAGCCGGGCCTTGGCCTCCTTCATTAAACCTCTCCAAACATCTCTATTTACTGCTGTTCTTTTCCATGAACGCGTTTTTAGGAGATTTTTGGCATCCTCATCTACCTCGTCTTCCCATCTCTTTTTTGGTCTTCCAACAGGTCTTTTTCCTTGCATTCTTGCGTTTAGTAATTTTCTGGGGATTCTGTTCTCATGCATGCGGGCCACATGCCCTGCCCATCGTAATCTCTGCAGTCTAGTGTATTGTGATAGTGTTGGTTCAGTGTATTGTTCGTATATTTGGTTATTATATCTAATTCGCCAGTTGTTATTTTCCTTTATTGGACCCAGTATTCTACGCAATATTTTTCTTTCGAACACGTCTAATGCATTGGTAGATTTCTGTGTTATAACCCATGTTTCACACCCATAACTTACTATGGGTCGGATTATTGTTTTATATACCCGGAGTTTTGTTTTCCGGTGTACGTCTCGCGATTTGAATATGTGGCCCATCGCGAAATAGGCTTTGTTTGCCAGCATAAACCTTCTATTTATTTCTGGTTCTTCTTCATTATTTTCGACCAGATCCATTCCTAAATACGTGAATCTATTCATGTATTCTATATCGTCTATAAATTGTTGTTGTTGCGCCTGTCTATTTGATCTGGTTTGTATGAGTAGTTTTGTTTTATTTGTATTTATTGTTAGCCCTACAACTTCTGAACTCTGTTTCAACTGAACGTAGGTTTCTTCTGCCGCAGTCTTTGTTCTGCTCATTATGTTTACGTCATCTGCGTATGCTGCTAATTGGGTAGATTTGTTTGTAAGTATGTTATTTCTGCTCACCGTCAACCGTCTAATTACATATTCAAGAACAAGATTAAAAAGTGTTGGAGCCAGTCCGTCACCTTGTTTCAGTCCTTGCGTTGTCATAAACGCATCAGTGATCTGTCCTTGAATACATACATGTGCTTCTGTTTCTGTCATTGTCATTTGCACTAGTCTTATTAATTTTGATGGTATGCCAAATTCTTGTAATATATTAGGTAGTATTGTTCTATCTATTGAATCATAGGCTTGCTTGAAATCTACAAAGAGATTGTAGACGTCTATGTCATATTCCCATGCTTTGGCTAGTATTTGTTTAACTGTAAATAGTTGGCCAATAGTAGATCTATTTTGCCTGAACCCTGCTTGATATTCCCCGATAATTTTTTCAGTGAGGGGTTGAAGTCTTCGATTAAGAATGTTTGTGAGTATTTTGTAGGCTAGTCTTCGGTTTGTAACCCTGTCTTAAATGTTTGATAAGTTGGTATGCACTGCGTGTTTCGTTTTCCTTGAACGCCCTCTCTATGTTTAGTATCCGGTTGTTTTCGTACCGTCTCTTTTTCTGTCTGCATAGTTTATCAGCTCTTCGTCTTTTATTCTCAAATTCTGTCCTTCTCTCTCTAGTTCGTCTGAGTATGAAATTCTTATGTGCTTCATTTCTTTCGTGAATAGCTTGTTTGCATTCTTCATCGAACCACTGTTCTTCACGAGAATACCCAATTATTACAAAATGTGTAGTACAGATTAAAAACTAATATGGTACCAAGAAGATAATTTACGATAAAGAAGACACTAATTAAACATTATAATTATGTCAAAACTCAATAAACAGTCATTTGAACTATGTAACTAACAGTTTTCAAAGGTAAGATACAATAACATAAACAAAACTCAATAACATCTAAATAAAACAACATCAACTGGCTTGTCCTAATCCAAAATTTTCTGAAGGTATTTAAAAACGCATGCTGCAATCTAATTAAAACCTCTATGTGCCTCAGATTCGTCCCACACTTACTTTCTACAAAATGAGTTTCCAGATAATAAATTGTTAGATTCAGAACATTTAATTTTGACTAAAATTCAGTGTGAAAAAAAGGCATTATTTTTATCTTGTGTTGGAGCTACTGTACCATTTTCATCGACTCTAACATAACAATTCATTGGTTTTACTTTCATTGACTGAAGTATAAATGACCATTGTCTTTCAATATTTCCCAAATTCGAGTAATCATTTAGAAGATCTTGTCATTGAGTTTCTGTTATATTGTATCAGCACTTAAATTTGCAGTTTTTTTTGCAAGTTGGTTTAAGTTTCCGTTCAGGCATTTCTTTACTGGTTTTAGATGATTGGTAATTCAATTGATCAAGCTTTCAATCAGCCCTTGATCCATCGGTTGCACCAATCTTGTTAAATTAGAAGGAAGAGAGATAATTTTTATGTCATCTGTCTCACATTTTATGTTTCAAGGATGAGTTGGAGCATTATCCAGAAGTAGCACTGCTTTTATACTGGCATCAACTGGCAAGAATAAAGGTTGAACAAGAACTGTCGGATGAAATAAATATAAAAAGAGGAGTGAGACAAGGCTGTATATTGTCGCCTTTACTTTTTAACTTATATTCGGAGGAAATATTTAAGGAAGCCTTAATGGAGACAACCGAAGGTATTATTGTGAATGGAGTAACCGTCATCAATATTAGATATGCTGACGATACCTTAGTCCTTGCCAATTGCGGAGAAGACCTTCAAAATCTAATGAACAAAATAAAACAGACTTGTGATCAGTATGGATTAAAACTCAACGTTAAGAAAACTAAATATATGATAGTTAGCAAACAAAATTATATACATGATGACGGTATAAAAGTCGGAGATGCCACACTGGACAGAGTAGAGAAACTCGTGTATCTCGGCAGTAATATCAATGAGAGCTGGGATCCAACCGCAGAAATTAAAAGCCGAATAGAACAAGCCCGAGCTGCCTTTGTAAAAATGAGAAACGTACTTTGCAGTCACGATCTTAGCATTGACCTTAGAGTTCATATGATATCTTGCTACATCTTTCCTGTCCTGCTGTATGGAGTAGAAGCGTGGACCCTAACTGAGGCTATGCTTAAACGCTTGACAGCCTTTGAGATGTGGGTATACAGACGACTACTGAAAATAAGCTGGGTCGACAGAGTTAGAAATGAGGAGGTCCTTAGACGGCTGAACCAAACAACACAACTGGTCAATATAATAAAGAAACGCAAGCTGGAATACTTCGGTCATATTATGAGACACCCTGAAAAATATGATCTTTTACATCTGATCATTCAGGGAAAGATCCAAGGTAATCGTGGTCCTGGTAGAAGAAGAACATCATGGCTGAAAAATCCTAAGGCAATGGTATCGAAAATCAACTACATCGTTATTTAGAGCTGCTGTCAATAAAGTCACGATAGCGAATATGGTAGCCAACATGATATCCAACGATCGATAACGGTCATGGAACTAGAAGAAGAAGCACTGCTTTAGTGGGAAGATTTACACTCTAAAGATGGCGCGTTTCTCTCGGAACAAATTCACGCTCAAACCATTCTTTGAATAGATCAACGCTCATCCATGCTGGTTTTTGTAATCTGTAGAATACAGGGAGGGACGATGGATGTAAATTTTTAAATGCATGCAGTTTAGCGGACTTACCAACAATGAAAAGAGAAATTTTGTGTGTTCCTGCCGCATTTGAACAACAGCAACTGAAATGCGCTCTTTATTCTTTTTAAATCCAGAAGCCGATTTTTCATGACTTCCCAAAAATGTTTTTTCTGGAAGCATTTTAAAATTGAGACCCATCTCATCCATGTTATATACTTGTTCGGGTTTTAATTTTTCCATTTTTATAATTTCTACAAACTTGGGAGGTAAAATCAGTTGCACCTGAAGCGTCCGCGTAGATTTTTTCTCCACTTACGTATGCATAAATAACTCCGTGCCGTGCCTTCCA